TCGGGTCAACCTCTGGTGATCTCGGGTCACCCCGGGTGATCTCGGGTCGATCTCGGGCGATCTCGGCTGACTCTCGGAGCTGATCTCGGAGCTGGAGCTCGAGCTCTCGGTGCAATCTCGGAGAGGCGCACGATGACTTGCTCCGAGGCGGCGCGCTGCCTGTCGACAAGAGGTGTGCCTTGGTGAGTGTGTGAGCTCCTCTCTCTTGGTGAGGACTCGCTCGCCCCAGGCGCGCTGCCTCTCTCTCGCGCGCTGCCTCGTCGCGAGGAGGTCGAGGTTCGGCGGGTTGAAGGCCTGGTGCAGCCGGAGACAAGGTGACCAGCACTCGAAGCGGGGGGGTGGAGCGTAGAGGAAGCGTGATGCGTGCGTGCGTGCGTGCGTGCGTGCGTGCGTGCGTGTGTGCGTGTGTGTGTGTGTGTGTGTGTGTGTGTGTGTGTGTGTGTGCGTGCGTGTGTGTGTGTGTGTGTGCGTGTGTGTGTGTGTGTGTGTGTGTGTGTGTGTGTGTGTGTGTGTGCGCATGCGTGCGTGCGTGCGTGCGTGCGTGCGGTTGCGGGGAGGGGGCGGGAGGGAGCTAGGGAGGGAGCTAGGGAGGGAGCTAGGGAGGGAGAGCACAAGACCAGAGTCGAGCGGCGGCGGCAATTCCGGCGGGGGGGGGGGGGGGCGAGGAGGGCGCGGCTCCCTCTGTGTTCTTTGAGAGGGCCTGCGCAAGCCCGCGGTCGCGAAGGTAGAGGCGTCGGGCGCAGAGGCCGGCCACTATGATCGCGAGACAGATCACGGCGCAGCCGATGATGGTGGCGACGACGATGCTCGTGAATCCGAACGACGCGAGCTCGCTGGCCTCGGAGGCGGTGTACGCGATTGAGATGCTGCTGTGGGGGGGCGAGAGAGGCGGTTTGGGTGACAGCATAGTTTTAGGAGAGGGGCGGGCCCCGGAGCGGGGAGGAGGGAAGAGGGCGGCGATGGCGCCTGCTGCTCGACATCGCCTTGAGAGAGATGCGGAAGCCGGCGAGGTTGGCCCCGCTCAAGAGCAGCCGTGTGGTGCCGAAAGGCTGCCGCCAGGTCCCCACGAGCCTCTCCCACTCGTCGCCGTCGCTTGAGCCCACTCTGTTGATCGAGTAGAAGCGCAGCACGTTCCTGTAGGAGAGGCCCTGTCCCCACGCGAGAAAGTCGACGCTGATGGGCACGCCGATGTCGGGGCGGACCACCCACGAGTAGTCGCACGGACCAAAAGCCGAGATGAGTCCCGACGTGTCTCGTAGGACCGTCTCGCCGCCATCTATGCCGCACATATTCGCACCGGGCGGCTTTGGCGTTGTCGGCGGCGGCGGCGGCGGCGGCGGAGAGGGCGAGGGCGGTCTGCGATTGCGGCGCGGAAACGGAGGCCGTGGCGGCGGGGAGGGCGGCGGGGACAGCGGCGGAGAGGGCGAGGACGGTGGCGGCGGGGACAGCGGCGGGGACAGCGGCGGAGAGGGCGAGGACGGTGGCGGCGGGGACAGCGCCGGGGACAGCGTCGG